ACACACACACACACACACACACACACACACACACACACACACACACAAAGTCAATGTGATTTAAAAACTAAAAAATAACATCAGAGGACAGAATCACCACGTTACATCATTCTTTATGCCATCTATGTCACTCTAGGTCAGAAGTGGGGACCCTGAGAGGAAGTAACATTTTGTAAGGCGCATGGCAGAGGCTTCTGAGCTCTAAGTCTGGTTATGTGGCTATAGAGATTGACATATGCTGATCTCCTGAGGGAAGCTACAGGACTAGAATTTTAAAGCAGTGGTATGTCCTTTTAAACAAGGACATAGTGTTTGTGCATGCTGTCACAGCCGCTCTGGGAAGACCATGATGACAGCTTGCTTTGAAACCTGGCACTTGTTTGCTTTTCCAAAGGAAGACTATGCCCCCAGAGCCCTGAAAGAAAGAAGATAGAAGATGGCAGCTAATCGCCTGAGCTTGGGTGGATGGAAGTCTCAAAGGGGAGTTCCAACTTGCCATCTACAGTATGACTATGAACTCCGGATACTGCATTGGACATTTTGATATAGGTTGTTAATGTCCATCATTACCATTTGATCTTGCCTTCAGAATAGAAGCTCCTGTCCAAGACAATCTGGTAACCAGAGCATTTACCAGTACATGGTAATCAGTACATTTGGTTTTTCTGGTGGTATGGCTGCAGAATCCTGACCCTCGGATTTTAACACGAGCAATTCAATAAGCGGCAATATCACCTTCTGTGGCCCCTCCACTATCAGTCAAAAGTGTTAAAAGCTACCGTGCCTACCCTCTTCTCCTGTGTCACGGCGTACTCCACCACCTCGGTTCCATTTTCATTGTGATAGACCAAATCAAACTTCCCAGGCTCTTTCAAAGCTGAAACCAAAAGGTAGAAAGACTGTAAGTCATGTCTCGGTGGTTAAAATGTTCATCATGGGGATTTCAAAGCCCTGGAAAACTCGTGAGGAGGCTGGGGACACACAGGAAAGAGTAGATACTGCTACAGAACACACCGCCCTCTGTCTTCTACACAGCACCAGGGTCTTCACAGCATTTATCAGAGATGTGCTTCCCTTCATCAGAATGAAGCAGGCTTGATAAACCCACTGAGTACACCTGATACAGAATGCGCAACCACAAGATAATCCCAAAAGATAGGTTTTGTTTCACAAGGGAAGGTATAGAATGCTGCTGTCTTCAAAAATCATGTATGCTTAAACTTAGAAACACGAGCAGGCGTCAGCCTTGTACAATAATCCAGAATCAGAAAAATATTCATACGAACTAAAAAGATTTTTTTATAAACCATATCCCTAATATATTCTGTGTAACTTTAAATTTTCAGTTCCTAGTTTATTTTGAATTTTTCTTCCTTTTTTTTTTTTTTAAGACAGGATCTTTATATAGCCCAGGTTGCCCTCTATTTTCCTATGTAAATGAGGTTGACTTTGAACTTCTAATCTTCCTGTCTCAGCCCTGACTGCTGCGATTACAGGAATGAGCCAGCAGGTTTAGGCAGTGCTGGGGACAGAACCAAGAGCTTCTTTGTACACGTAAGACAAGCACTCTACCTCCAGTTTTCTCTCCGTATGACCTCCCTTTTTAGCTCAGGCTGGCCTTAAGCTCGTGATCCCCCTGCTCCTTCCAGCTCTCAAGTGCCTGGGATCAGAGGTGTGTGAACACACCCAACTGTGTTTCCCTTCAAGCCCATACAAAAGGACAGGGAATTTGGCACAGTGGCAGAGCACCTGTCCAGTGGGCATAAGCCATGATTCTGATCCCTAACCCAGAAAAAGATGTAAGAAAATGACACAGAAATAGGAAGGTTTTCAAGGTCGTATAGGTGTAGCCCCTTCTGTGAGTCTGTAAGTCCCTGGGTCAGCGTTCAGTCTTGGTTTCCTAGAAGTAATTGCTTTGCAGTTCACATTCACCTGTACGTAAGGCTTTCTGCCATAGTGTACAATGACAGTGTTAAGAGAAGCCAGCCCAGCAGCTCTGAGGGCCAACCGACATTGCCACCCAAGAAGAAGGTGCAGAGGCCTCAGGGCTGCAGTGCGCTGACAGTGGAGAGAGGAGAACAGCACCTAGTCCTGGGTGAGCAGAGGCCGAGGGAGAGGACCCCTCCACACAAAAAGACTGTTCCGAAGCCACTGTGGCTGCGGAGTCTGACGCTGCACATCCACTTCTAAGACTCACCTGGTAAGGAAGACAGGACCTCTATGTCCACCTGCTGGGTCTCCGGATCGTGGCTTAATATTTTTCCTTCCTTCCAAAAATAAAAGACCAAGTCAAAAATCGACATGTAAAATAGCATATTGTCATATACTACAAGCCACTAAGTAAGTAGACTTTAAAATGGCTACTTTTATATAATATAAATTTATAGCAAGCTGGGCGTGGTGGCACATGTCTTTAATCCCAGCAGGCACAAGAGGATCTCTGTGAGTTCGAGGCCAGCCTGGTCTACAAAGTAAGTCCAGGACTACCAGGGCTGTTAAACAGAAACCCTGCCTAAAAAGACCAAGAAGAAATTTATCTCAACAAGTTAACATGGGGAATAAAAGCAAACAGTTACAAGCACTCTACTTGAATATACAGAAATCTTCTTAGATGTAAAATAGATACACATTAATCATGACTGGCAGATACTACAACACTTGAAAAAAGGATAAAAATTATAGTAGGTCCCCAAAATTGAGGAGGTGGGGGCAGGAAAGCAGACTAAAGCGATGTGTTCAAGTGAGAAGTAGCGTCACATCTTTTACTGGGAGAGCCCAAACATCAACAGTGGTGCTTCTGTTCCTAGCGCTGCTGAGGCCACTCTAAAGCATGCACACACACACCCCCCCCAGCAGGAACAGGAAGGCACTTGGTCACTGAAAAGGCTACAAGCTGCTTCTTCCCAGGTCCCCAGGTTTAAGAGCTGGCTTTCAGGTGTATGAAGATGCACTGAAGCTGGTTGGGATGGGGCACGCCTGTAATCCAAACACTCGGAGGCAGAGGCAAGAGGGTTATGAGTTCAAGGCCAGCTTGGACTGTATAGTTAAGACACTGCCCGTCAAAAATTTGTCAAGGGGAAGGGCTGGAGAGATCGCTCAATGGTTAAGAGTACTGTCTGCTCTTCCAGAGGACCCAGGATCAATTCCCAGCACCCACATGGTAGCTCACAATGGAAGAAGGGAACAGACCTGTGCCATGGGTTAGTGTGGGAAAGGAGCAAGTGGCTGGATCATCGTGGACGGAGGAGACGGAGAATATTATAAGTATTTTGGGACCATGGATGGGAGGTGACTCAAGATTGGGGCTGGGACATAAAGTTATTTTAGAGGGTTAATATCTGCAATGGCCCAGGTAAAGTCTATTTTATAAAATACAACAGGTGTCTGTGTCTTTATTTGATTGATAGTGGGTAAGATAATACCGCCATAATAATTATAATAACTACAGCATAATAATAAACAGTTATTAGGCAACACGTTTTAAATTTACCACAACATACAACTGTCTCTAACTCCACCTCCAGGGGATCTGACACCTTCACACACATATATGCAGGCAAAACACCAATGCACATAAAATAAAAATAAGTAAATCATAAAAACAAAAACAAGTTAAAAAGAGGCTCCACCGTCCCTGAGCATACTGTCTCTTCATCGGCAACAGTGAGACAAATGAGCAGCTGTGGGGACCTATACTGAGGCCAACCAACGAACTTCTTTTTGTTGTTTTCAAGACATGGTTTCTTTATGTAAAAACCCTGGCTGGGGCTGGAGAAACGGCTCAGAGGTTAAGAGCACTGGCTGCTCTTCCAAAGGTCCTGAGTTCAACTCCCAGCAACCACATGGTGGCTCACAACCATCTATAATGAGATCTGGTGCCACTTTTCTGGAGTGCAGGTATGCATGCAGGCAGAACACTGTATACGCAATAGATAGATAGATAGATAGATAGATAGATAGATAGATAGATAGATAGATAGACAGACAGACAAATAGATAAAGCCTTGGCTGACCTGGACTTGCTTTGTAGACCAGGGTGGCACCTGTCTCTGCCCCCTGAGTGCTGGGATTAAAAAGGCGTTTGCCACCAGGCCCGGCTTCCCAGCCTCTGATCAGCTCTTTTTTATTTTTTTTTTTTACTTATGTATGTACATGTTAGCATGTGCACATGCATGCTGGTACCCATGGCCAGAAGAGGGTGCCAGATCCCCTGTTGCTGAAGTTCCAGACAAGTTTCTTGAGCCACTTGACATGGACACTGGGAACCAAAGTCCAGTCCTCTGTAAGAGCAGCAAATGCTCCTTAAAGCTGAACCACCTATCCAGCCCCATCCCTCAGCACTACCCTCACTCTGCACACAGACAAGCGGTGCTTCATTTTCTTACATATTTTGTCTTTGTGTAGCTATGTATTTTTAGGACAGACCCTGAGTTTGAGCCTCAGAAGCACAATAGTCCTGCGTAACCCACAGAGAGTTCGTGATTCTCATTCTGTTTTCTTCCCCAGTACCAGCAACATAAGACTGGGAAACTTCATAGTGACACAAATGTCCACCTTCACTTTATGACACTTTATTTACCAAAAAGTGTCTATATTAGCCATGCAAGAATTAAAGTTTTATTTAAATACGTGAGTACTTTTATTTAAAGGGGCTGGAGAGATGGCTCAGAGGTTAAAAGCACTCGCTGTTCTTCCAAAGGTCCTGAGTTCAATTCCCAGCATCCACATGGTGGCTCACAGCCACCTATAAGGAGATCTGGTGCATAATGAGATCTTGTGTATAAATAATAAACAAATAAATCTTAAAAAAAAAAAAAAAA